AATTTCTAACTGCTTTTTAGTGTAGTAAAATAGACTGATTTAAATAAGCTATTTTAAACCTATTTTTTCCCTGAAGCTCTGGAAAATAGTATTAAAATATGCGATTTTATTTCTATTACCTATAAAAATAGGAATAAAATAAAATAAAACATTAATAAAATATGGCTCTTCTTTTGGTGGAATATTATGATAGAATTAAAATAGGGTTGCTTCTGAATAAAATAGCATAAAAATAGGGGTGATAGTAATAAAATAGCTTTAAAATAGCAATATAATATAGTTATTTTCGCAAGGGATGTTATATTAAATTTTCTTGTTGAACTGACTCAGATATTGTATATACAGTACACACCAAAAAACATATTTGGCGGTAGTGACACTTTAACTGAACGTTGTTATTATACAAATATATTCGGTAGGAAGTTTAGCCAATCAGAAAAGATCATAATTGGCGTTAGGCTAATAACTATGATCTTTGTTTTTCGCCAGTGGTAATTTGGATTACTCAGTTTTACTGATTTGCACGTATAGTAGTAGTCGGCAGTTGTGCTGATTGTGATATCGGATATCCTATATTTTTAAATCTTCGGAATTTTACTCGCTTGGAAATTAAAATCGTTTTCTTATAGTTGGATGCTCTGCCTAAATGTTTGACACCACATTTCCACATAGCATTTGTCGTATCACACGCATTCTTTAGACTTGCAACTGACTATGGAGTATCAGTGTTTGATGGAAATGCGATCTGAAATAGTCTTACCTCTGGCTTTGTATCTTCAACATCTGTCTGGTTGAAACCTGCAGCATGAAAATAACGAAATTAGATGATTTTATCGATAAAAAAATTGAGAAAATAAAAAAACATTTTTTAGTTGTGTAATGTATTTTAAATTAGTTTGATCTCTAACTTGCTGAAACCGTATGTCCGTCGCAAGTTACGTTTAAAGATAGCTCCCTACAGTTATAGTCCAGTAAACATTTATATAGATCAGACGTTATCCTCGCAACCCGCGCGTGGAATCATACCTGTTTTCGACTGATCGCCAATTACTTTCTCATGATGATTGCTTGCATTGTAATTTATATATCGACACTCAAATCTTATGATGTCTCCATGGCTTGGTTTAAGTTGATCAACTCCAACTGGCGATGGTGCGTCATTGATAATAATGAACCAATAATACTGAGTGGTCGTATTTTCAGCAACACAACAAATCTGTGTAATATAACGGCCAAAACTGAAGGTCTTGTAATGAAATCGGTAACATGGGTTTTGTTTCGCCGCTAGTGTTAAAATTTCAAATGCAGTGGTGCCATTGGACGCAGTTGCTATGTCAACAGCAGGGATGATATCTTCCTTGATGGAGTTGCTGTACTCAACAAAACTGAGCTGCACTGTGACAGAAATCTATTTAAGAAAATGATAAAATGCATAAACCGAACAGTTGATTTATTTTTGAAGGTCTTGTTGCAAGGTTTTGTATATATATAGAAGGAAATTATCAGTGTAAATTGTATACATTATTCTAGACCTTATACCAAGAGCAGCTGCGAAAAATGAAAGTGTAGGCCCTCTCTGGCTGGAATCGAACGAGCGGCCTTGTGAGCCCGCTCTAACCAACTCAGCTACAGAGTGACAGAGTGCATTTGTAGAGCTCTGTAAACACAATTTTATTTGCATATAGTATACTAAACACTAATGTGATATCAGGATTTTTTGTGCATCTGCTCCTGGTTATAGGTCTAAAATAAATGTATAAAATTTACGTTCAAAATTTCCGCCTACATTACCATTCAAAATCAATTCAATCGAATGAGATCCTGTTATGCCAATAAAAAAATAGCTTATCGTTTTTGAAAAAAAAACCTTTTAGAACTATGCGGAAAACCTTTTCACACTTTTTTTGAAAATGTTTGAACCAAAATGGACCCAAAATTATTATGCTTATGCATTTATTTCAACTAACAAATTAACTGCATGACAACATTTAGTCAACAGGAAAAATATAAATAATCCTGTTTTTGACATCAACAAAATCACTGCAATATATACAGTTACGTATTTGATCATGAATGATGTCTCCTCTTTGTCTCGTTATATTAGTTACTACAGACCAATGGGATTGTATAATCGACCAGCCGATGCCAAGACCATTTTCTTCGACTTTCAGCCGTGGATGCAAAACGGCCTGGGGATGAGGTCGTGTCTCATTATCGATTCACCAAATTTGAATTTGGTGAAGACTACCTTTCATCAACAAAACCTTTTGCTTATAACCTAAGTCAGTTTAGAACTAAGAATTTTCGTCAAAAATCCATTAGAATAGGTTTCTTGTGAAACTATTTTCTGTTCAATTAATTAAAACAATTTGCACACCCCGCAGTCGCGCAAAATTGCTTGCCACGGGAGAAAGGGGCGGGAGAAAATGTCCTTCTATAAAATATAAACCTGTCATGTTGTGGACTGTGGAGTCGAGACATATTTTTCATAGAGAAGAGATAGAAATACATATTGTATATCTATTAGTTCTATGGATGGAAATACTGATCCAAAACTAACCCATTCCATTCAGTCAAAATTCTTCAAGATATGAGAAATCGGGAAAAATATTTCATATATAATCTTAAAAGTTGCATGTCAAATGAGGAAATCTTAATCTTTATTACCATATCGGTTGTAGGATAAAAGTAATGTACGCCCGTAATCTAAAAGCACACTAGCACTCAATAAGTGGAGGTTCAATCTGAGCTTCTCTTGAATGCCATTGCTGCTTTTGAATAGCTGGACGGTGAGTAGCCACCGAGTAAGGTATGATACTAGCCTTCCAGCTATTCAATAACAGCATGCAATGACACTCGAGAGAAGCTCAGATTGAACTTCCACTCAATGCATGAATGTGAGTGAAAGTGAGCTTTTAGAATACGGGCTGTAGAACTATTGCGGAATCGGTTGTTGGAGAATAACCTGGCGCGAGGGCCTCGTAATTATGAATGGGATCTTTGAATACCGAATCCAACAAACATTAATTTAATAATGGTCATTCCCCCTTTAAATTGTGAATTTCGAAAAAAAAATAAAATTATACTATAAATAGGTACATTAGGTATTATTATACTTTAAGATAACATGTGGTTCTTACCTACAATAAGGCTTAGAAAAATAAGGCTTCAAGAGGCCTTTTTTTAACATTTCCTCCATAGCAACGCCCTAGCAACACGTTTTCCTTCCAAATTTGCATGATTATTTCACTCACAAAGAGATTTTTTAAATTCAACTTTTGATGCATGTTATTTAAGAAATGCTGGCAAATCTCTTTGTGATTGGTTCATTTTTGTCGGCATGACAACGCACTGACTTTGCTAACCTCGAGGTCGACTTCTGAGCAAGCTGTGTGAAAGTTGTCATAGAAAATCGCTGTTTTTTGCATTTATAAGTTGAAAAGTTGCTGTAAAAGTTTAGAATTACCTATCTTGTGTTGGTCTGGTTGAAATTCGAAGTAAACAGATGGGAAATTTAAGAAATCGATCATGAAAAAAGGGAAAGATTCCACCGTCAAGGAAACGAGTCGTAAACAAAGATGGCGGACCAAAGTATAAAGACCCTGGACCTCCTGCGAAGAAAATTGGCAAGAATACGGAAACGCTTCGTGATATGTCGAAAAACATTGATTGTACTTTGAAAGAAGGAACTATATTTATGGACTTATCGCACTATTCAATGTATTTAACGTCTTGAAATGCCCAGATTGTGGTTGTGATATTGACTCACATGTTGACATGAAAAAGAAATGTGGATATTCGAACTACATTGTGTTACAGTGTAAAAATATCGAGTGTGGCTGGAAATATTCTTTTAATTCTTCAAAGGAACAAGGTCGTTCCTATGAAGCAAATGTAAGAGCAGTCCTGGCTTTTAGGGAAATTGGCAAAGGACATAATGCCATCACTACATTCAACAAGATGATGAATATGCCTGCTCCACCAACCCGACGGAACTTCACAAAAATCCAGAATGAAAATGTTTTGCCAGTTGTGAAGAAGTTGGCTAATGATAGCATGGTCAAAAATGCCTATACGGTTAGAGATGAGAGTGGAAACGATGATAGTGAATGTGGAGTGTCAATCGATGGGACATGGCAGAGGAGAGGATATTCGTCACACAATGGGGTTGTTACGGTGATCTCCTTGGATACGCAGAAATGCCTGGATGTCGAAGTGTTATCAGACAAGTGTCAGCAATGCCAAAAGTGGGGCCAAAAGATTCAAGATCCAAGGTACAATGCATGGAAGACATCTCACAAGTGCAAGATTAAACACGAAGGAAGTGCTGGCAGCATGGAGACGCCTGGGGCTGCTACAATTTTTGAACGGTCGCTTGCTACAGGAGGGCTGAAGCATACCAAAATGCTTGGAGATGGTGACTCCTCAACATACAACACCATTGTTGAAGGGGAGCAATATGGGGAGGATTGCATTCCAGAAAAGTTAGAGTGCATTGGCCATGTCCAGAAAAGGGTCGGAAGTCGTTTACGGAAACTGAAGACTTCTAACAAGGGATTGAAATTGGCTGATGGTAAAGGCTTGTGTAGTGATTGACAGTTATACATAATTTATAGAATAAATTATAATACGCGGGAAAATAGGAACACATGTAATTAGGGCGCGAAGGAGAAACATTGAGTTTGTATTTAGTAAGTAAGTAAAGGAAAATATATAACTATAAAGATTGTTTGATTACTACATTGGCGACGAGGATAAATTATGGCAATGAATGGCTTACAGCCAATGCCTTTGTTCGAACCGAAAGCTGATCCAACGAATACAAGCGCTCGATGGACACAGTGGATTCAACGTTTTAACACATATTTAGTCGCTTCAAATGTGAAGGACAATGCACGTAAAAGAGCACTATTATTGTATCAAGCGGACCTGAAGTTCACGAGATATTCAAAACATTGCCTGACACAGGAGACGAGAAAAATTACGAAGCTGCTGTCAATGCCCTCACTGCATATTTTGAACCAGAAAAAAATCGAATCTATCAAACATATATGTTTAGACAAGCATCTCAACAAGATAATGAAACCATCGACGAATTTCACACACGCTTGAGACGATTAGCAAAACATTGTGAGTTCGTGGATGTTGAATTCGAAATCAAAATGCAAATTGTGTGCAACGGTACATCCTCGAGACTGCGTAAGAAAGCGTTAAAAGAAAGCAATTATTCACTCAAAGATATGTTGATCGATGGTCGAAAATCAGAAACCTGCAGTGCACAAGCCAGTGGCATGGAAGAAAAATTTAAGGATGTACAACTTAATCAAGTTGAGAGAAAACCTGCTCAATCTAAGTGCTATAACTGTGGATTTGCTTACCCTCATTTGGATCGTCCTTGTCCGGCCGAAAATTCAACTTGTAACTCGTGTGGCATACTTGGTCATTTCTCTAGAGTGTGTCGAAAGAAAGAATCGCGTCGTTTTTCCAAGCCACAAATAGCACAAGAATCGCCTCGACAACGAGAACAACCAAAAGACCCGTTTAAATCCGAATCCACGAGAAACAAGCGAAGAAATCGTGTACGGGCTGTCAACAAACATCTCGATTCATCGACGGAGACCAGTTCTGAGGAAGATTATGTTTATACTGTGGAAAACAAAAGCGACCCAAAGACGAGAGCAAAAATACGAGTTAATTCTGTTGAAATCAATTTCATTGTTGACACGGGAGCGACAGTTGACGTTATCGACTCCAAAACCTATGATCGCCTCAAATCCAGCGTCAAATTATGCAAAAGTACGACCAAGATATTCGCTTATGGTTCAACCAAACCACTACCTCTTAAAGGTGAATTTCAGGCAACGGTAGAATCGAACAAACGTTATACTGTTTCTGTTATTCACGTTGTCGAAGGCGGCTCTGGAAATCTACTTAGTGCGAAAACCGCTCAAGATTTGGCATTAATTCAATTAGTAAACAAGGTCACGGAACTTGAAACGCCGCCGAAACCGGAACTTTCTAAACCGGAAACTCAGCCCATACTGCCCGGAAACACGGAGAACACGGATAAACAGCAGCCAATGCCTCATGCATCGACGCCAAAATGCGAAGACCAAGAGATCCAGAAGATTATTGATAAATACGCAACTGTTTTCGTTGGTGAAGGGAAATTGAACACTCAACAAGTCGGGTTACATATTAATGAGAATATTAAACCAGTGGTTCAACCGCAGCGTCGTATACCATACCATATACGCAATGACGTATCAAAGGCGTTGCAGAAATTGGTTGTGGAAGATATGATCGAAAAAGTCTGTGACCAACCTACCCCGTGGATTTCGCCAATTGTGTGTACCCCAAAGAAGGACGGTGGAACACGAATCTGTGTTGACATGAGAGCAGCCAACCAAGCGATTAAGCGAGAAAGACACATTATGCCAACGCTTTCTGATTTCCGTGCGGAAATGAATGGATCAAAATATTTTTCAAAAATTGATCTCAAACAGGCGTACCATCAACTGGAATTGAAAGAAGAAAGTCGGTACATAACTACATTCTCGACGCACGAAGGCCTATTTCGCTACAAACGACTGAACTACGGAACGAACAGTGCGCCAGAAATTTTTCAGAACATTTTGCAACAAAATCTTAGTGACATTCGTGGAGTAAAGAATATTGCAGATGACATCATTGTTCACGGGAAAACGCGAAAGCAACATGACGAATCATTAGAGAACTGTTTGAAACGACTAGCTCAACTCAACTTAAAAGCGAAACCCGAGAAGTGTAGTTTCCTGCGCAAAGAGATTAATTTCTACGGTTTAATTTTTACGGCAAATGGAACAAGACCAGATCCAGCAAGAATTGACAACTTAGTCAGAGTCAGCGCTCCAAAGAATGCCAGCGAAGTACGTAGTTTCTTGGGTTTGGCGAACACGTGTCGTGAGTATGTTCCAGAGTACGCCGTAATTACTACACCATTGCGGGATCTCACAAAGAAAAGTGTTGCTTTCACTTGGAACCACACCCACCAAAGAGCCTTTGAGCAGATTAAAAAGAAACTGACACATGCCCCTACCATGGCATACTTTGATACCGAGAAGAGAAGCTTGCTTATTGTTGATGGATCCCCTCTCGGAATTTGTGCTATTTTAGCCCAACGTGAGAAGTCAGGAGAGTCGTATCGCATTATCTCCTACGCCAGCAGAGCCCTGTCTCCAGTCGAAAGTCGATATTCACAGACTGACATCGAAGGGTTGAGCCTAGTGTGGGGGATAGAACATTTCCGACTGTTTCTCCTGGGTACTGAATTCGATGTTTATACTGACCACAAAGCTCTGGAAGCAATCTTCAATAATCCAAGATCAAAACCCCCAGCTCGTATTGAACGCTGGATGCTACGACTGCAACCGTATAACTTCCGTGTGATTTACAAGAAAGGAACAGTTAATGAAGCCGATTACCTGAGCCGTCATCCTACCACCACTCAACGAAAAACTACAATCGAAGAAAAGATTGCAGATAATTATGTGAACTACATCATTAACAATGCTGTACCGAAGTCAATGACACTTCAAGAAATCAAGGAAGCCACCTTGTCGGACACCATTCTAAAGAAAGTTTTAGAATGCTTGAAATCGGGGAAATGGGAGGAGGAGGATGTGGAACTGAAAGCTTATCAAATGTGCGCGGAAGAACTAACAGCAACGAAAGCAGGAGACCTTCTTCTCAAGGGGAGCAGAATTGTTATACCAAAAGCGCTACAAGACCGTGCGACGCAACTCGGACATGTCGGACACCAAGGAATAGAAAAGACTAAGGCGTTATTGAGAGAAAAAATATGGTATCCTGGAATGGATGGTAAAGTAAAGACCCTCGTTGAAAACTGTGTTGCCTGTCAAGCTGTTGGTCCAAGTAATCCTCCTGAACCTATGAGAATCACTCCTACAGCGACGGAGCCATGGCAAAGCTTAGCAATCGATTTTTATGGTCCTATACCACACAGTGGACAATACTTACTTGTCGTGACTGACACATACTCTAAGTTTCCAGAAGTAGAAATTGTTACGTCAACTTCAGCGAAAGCCTGCATCCCGAAGTTAGACTGCATATTTGCAACTCATGGTATACCGAAAAAGATTAAAACTGATAATGGACCACCTTTTAATGGGAATGATTTTAAAAGATACATGGCTGCCTTAGGAATTGAGTGGAAAACAAGCACTCCGTTGTGGCCCCAAGGCAATGGAAATGCCGAAAGTGTGATGAAACCGTTAGGAAAAGTGATAAAAACTTCCATGTTAGAGGGAAAGAATTGGAGACAAGAACTTCAAAGATTTCTATTAAATTACCGCTCAACACCGCATGCCACTACAAAGATACCTCCATGTGAACTACTATTTAATCGAAAGGTGCAAGGAAGTCTACCCGAGCTGTCAACACAAAATGTCGTAAACAAGCACCAAAAGGCAAAGGAAAACATTGACAAGAAGAAGATCAGTAATAAGCAGTACTACGATGCCAAGAAAAACACCAAGACATCCAAGATCAAGGAAGGGGACATTGTTATTTGTAAACAGAAACCAAACAACAAGTTATCTCCAAGATTCAATCCCGAGCGATTTACGATCGTGGAGAGGAAAGGCGCAACAGCTACGGCACGAAATGGCAGACGCACCATCACGCGTAATGTAACTCATTTCAAAGTAGTTAAACCTGTAGACGAACAAAGTAGTGATGTAGAGAAGTCAACTACTGTGGAAGATGTACAGGACAACAGGGTCGGAGATGATATGCAGGACTTTATAGAAGAAAGTCACCCGATAGCAAGAAGATCAACGAGAAATCAACGACCTGTAAATAGATTTGGTCACTCAATACCATCGGGACTTATTTCATAAAACTTTAGTATGATATGAACAATAACGAACAAATCATAGTTATTCCGTTGAGTTTTGTAAAAAAAAAAGAAGAGAACAATGTAGTGATTGACAGTTATACATAATTTATAGAATAAATTATAATACGCGGGGAAATAGGAACACATGTAATTAGGGCGCGAAGGAGAAACATTGAGTTTGTATTTAGTAAGTAAGTAAAGGAAAATATATAACTATAAAGATTGTTTGATTACTACAGTACCTTGTCCTCACCGCCAGGAAC